ATTTTTGAAGGAGATGAGTTAGACCAGTACTTTATTGCTATTGAGCAGTGCCTAATCTTAGAGTGTAAAGATATCCCAACAGCGCTCTTACTATTAATAGCAAGTCACTATGTATTCAACATCAGTTATCAACCAAAAGCTCAGGATTTTTTCGCTTCTTCATTGAATCTAAATTGTTGAATATCTCATCCAGTGCATATAAAAGCAAATCTCCTGTGGCACTTTCTCACATTAATGGCATCACCAGGAAACACGAAGTACTTAATGGATAATTGTTTTTGTTCTTTTGCATCAAGGAAAAGTTGTATTTAATCATTATAATCATTTGGACAATGTTTTGTAAATAATACAAATCAAATTTGTCATTTAAAAAGAAATTTTGTTAAATTAGCAAAAGAGTAGTTTGTCAATGGAGTTTCATAGCGTTTACAAATTTGTTCTGTCAAATTGACTAAGTGATATTTACAGTGTGTATAATAACTTTTAATGTTACTCAAAATTTTTCTTGTAAGGACTTCAAAATTTTTCAGCAGCAGCCAGATCTATAAGCACTTGTAATTTGTAATAAACTTGTAGTACCAGCCACAAACAAGATCCAGATTTGATAATGACAGCTTCCTCTCTTCTTAACCCTGTCATACATAAATGATGCTCTGTGAATCAATGCTTAACTCTGATGAACAGTAAACCCTCTCTCCCTGTCCATTATGGCAACAAGTAATGAATGAATATTCAGGGCCATAGCCAGACACTTAAAAGAGGGTGTTTTGTGTTGCTGCATGCGAAGTGCGCAGCAAAAAATTTAGGCGGAAGTGGGCATAGTCTCCGCTACGCATGCACATTACAGATTAGACTGAGATTACAGAACAAGAAATATTGTCAAAAATTACACAAAGGGTTCCTTGGTGAGTTTAGAAACTACTCTGTTTGAGAAGGCAACAGTAAAGAGGCAGATTGGAACCTTCGTGGATGTTTTTGTATGAAGGGGTGTGTAATATGATCAATTTCGCGGTTGGTGGAGTAATGTGTATAGATCAAAGACAAAGCAGATAATCTCTCTTCTGTTTGAGAGGCTCGTAAGTAGTTATTTAGTTGCCTCAGAGCTGAGGCGGACCTCTCACATGAGCAAGATGTCATTGGCAGTGTAGCAAAAATTTTGAGAAGTGCATACAGGTTTGGTGTTGTATCTTGTGAGCACTGCTTTAGAATATCATGGAGTGCTGTTTGTCGGTCTCTCATTACAACATGAAGCCACTTTAATTTCCAAATGTGAAACTCTTCATCTATAACAAGTGGATTTGGCAGATTATCTTTGTATAATTCCACTGCCTTTGCAATTGAAGTTGCAGATGAGGTGGAAGTTATCATAGTTGGAAGAGACTGAATGGTTGCAGCAGTTTGGAAGACACCATCAAAGCAGGAAGAAATTTCATTAAGCAAATGATCAAGGAAAGGAATGGTTGTTGTAGTTTTCATAAATTCTTCAACTGAATCAGTCAGATTGTTAGCTTGGTATTGTTGGCATTGACAAGTGTGAGGTTTTGTAACACTTATATTTGACTTCTCTGCCAGCCTGCAACTATGCTGATAAATGTGGCTAGAGTAACTGTCTACATCATTTCTTAAATGCTGCAGGCTAAAAGTTGTTTCAGACAGTAGTTGTCATCCTTGAATAATATCTTGACTTTCACCCTGAATCAGTACAACAAACTCCTTGAAATACATCAATGACTGGTGGAGTAATATCAAGGTGTACAAAATTTCGAATGACTCTAGAGATTTGAGATGTGCCATTGCATTTCGTTTGTCATCAGGTGTCCAGCACTTGTCATTTTACAGTGTTAAGGATGGCAAAGAGCTAATCTTTCCCACCCTTCTATATTTTCCACCCGTCTTGTCACACACACATTGAGTAGTGGAGTTCTTTGGCTACCATCAGGCAAAGCTCTGAATAATAGCTTTTAGTAAACCTTCCCTCGTTGGGGAATATTTTATATAGAGAGTTATGCCTTTAATGACATCAATACAGTTTCCTACTATTGGTATGGAGCAGGAAGATGCAATGACAAGATTAATTGAATGGCCTGCACAATGAGTGTAAAGTACCTTAAGCTGCTTCTCTTTGATTAGCTTCTGTACTCCACCCTTTTCTCTACTCATGGTAGATTCTCCATCATATCCCTGTCCTCTTAAATCATTCAATAAAAGCCCAAGTCCCTCCAAAGTAGCAATGATGGCGCATGAAATATCTACAGCTCTTACTCTTTCCATCATTATAAATGCAATGAAGTCTTCGCGGATGTTATTATGGGCATCAACGTAACGAAGACATATTAGGAGATACTCAACATTGTGACATGTGACTTCATCAGCCATAACAGAGAAATATCGAACTTCCTTTACTTCATCAACAATGCTTTCCCTGATAATGTCATAGCCCATTACTTCTATCAGCTCATTTTGTGATGTTGGTGATAGATATGTGACATTTCGATGAAGAGGACACTCTAAATGGGCCTGAAGCACTGAATCAGTTTCAGCAAAGGTCTTTAAAAGGGCTAAGAAATTACCAGGGTTTGCTGTAGTAGTCACACTTTCGATGGTTCCACAAAATGGTAGGCCTTGTTTGCCAAGATATTTGACTGCCCGTATGATTTGTTGAAGAATATGTCTTCTATTCCATTCAACTTGACGTTGTAGTGCTGTACTTGTTTGAACATCAATTCTCCTGGATGGATTTCAGTTGTTGTTTTCAGAGCATCAGCAGCAACTATAGTTTTTGAATGGTAAGAAAATTGTGAGTGATTCCTTAAAGTACTGCTAATCTTGACCCAGTTAGAGAATGGCGTATTAACTAGAATTCCTTTACCATTACGTTTAGATTCTGTCAGGAGAATTGAACATGGGCCACAGAAAACACCATTCAGAGAAGGACTATATGGCAGCCAAGAGTATTTCCTTAACCAGTCCACATTAAATTTTCTCATACAGCCATGGCCATAGGAGCTTGGAAGAACTGAAGGTGGAGGCATGTGACTGAAAAGCATGTCATACTTTTGACTGCTTGAGAGGTTGCTTATAGGTATGCAAATTTCTTGATCAGTCTTTCCTGGATCTACAAGCTACCCAATATCATTGATTTTACACTCATCTATTTGTAGTGTAGAACTGCTTTCATTAGTCTCCATTTCTGTAGTATCGCATGTATCTCTTTCCTTAGGCTCTGATTGCAGTGATAGATCAATTTCAATATCCCTGGTATCAGCAAAAGTATCTGCTAACAATGATAATTGAAATACTTGATTAAGAAGGCAGTTTCAATTAGAAAGTTACCATCATCATGAGTGTCTTTTGACAGCCTGGGATACTTTGAAAAGAAAGACCTTAAGTCATTACCAGATCTCTTCATTTTATAACAGCTTTTTAATTTTATCGTAGATTAATCACTTAATAATTAGAAATAATCAGTAATCAATTGCAGTTTATACAGTTTATTAAATCAATAATAATGAATAATAATGATAATCACACCTAATGTAAAAGGTGGGAGTGACTCCGCAAAAATGGCTGACTAGCTGTGCTGCTGAATGCCAGTCCTTCTCAAACTTCTGTACTCTGCAGTGCTGTTCTTTTAAGCCAGGAGCTCGGCTAAGTAATTTTTTGTAGCTACAATAGGGGGTTCGTCCGAAACTCCTCTGGCTACGGGCCTGATTTTCACTGTTATTTGTTATACATTGATTAATCTCACTTCCTAAATGCAGCTAGATCTCTTCGTACTGAGCAATACTGCATGGATATGCACCATTGGTTTCACACATTACTCACATTGCACATGCAGTGATAATATGTCACATTAAACAACCAATGTTTTTAAGGTAATGTACCTCCCATACACCATACCCACATTTCATCAACAATCAATGCTTAAGAACTATTAATAGACTTAACTGCTTGGAAATGATTAGTACCAACATGCTTCAAATATAAAGCAGGTGTATTAGTATCACAAGAAATGCAATATAAAGTTTGGTTTCCATATCTAACCCAGCGAACAAAAGCATGAGCAAGTGAATATATAGATACAACTAACATTGCAGTTAGTGTAATAATCTCTGCATCAGTGACCCACACAATTTCTATACATTTTGGACTTGTTTATGTAATCAGATATGCTTCAATATCTGGTTGCACTTAATGCTATTAATCAATTGTTCAAAGTTTTGCATATTACTAACAATTGCTTTACGTAATTCGTAATGCTGAGAAATTGACCCATTAATGAGATATGAAAGGGCATAAAATAAAGAGTTCCATGACCAGGGACATCAAGAGTACTATTAGGAACTCTTTTATCTGACAATAGTGTTGTTGCACTACCATGTAAAATTCTAGCAGGTGTTACAAACTTAAGGTTTAAAATATCACACCACCTTCTTTGAAATTCTTCATTACCAGGGTAGTAAACAAATTCCCATTGTCTCCTTTTACAATGTCTGTTTTGCAAGGCTCTAGATAAGTAAAGATGATGTCATCTTGTTTAGGAATACTTGTCTTTAATTTAATGATTGAGAGTTTTATAGATACAATCAGACTACTACTACAATGGTCATTTTTTACAACACACTTAGTTTTATCATCTTCCGGTTTACATTTAATATTTGGGAGTTCTATAGATAAAGTGAGACTACAAATATCAACATGTTTGATATTATATTTGGCTTTTGTCTTTTAAATTAAGTGAAACAATTAATTTGTCATCTGTTTTTGGGCGAGGCAATGCCAAAGCACTATTGTCAGTACTACTGTCTACATCAACTTTTTTTTTGGGGCGAGGCTGATTTAAAGCAATATCACATATTTCACTCTTCTTAGGGCAATTAAACTTTCGTAAAGTAGTACTCTTACATTTATTGCTACTAACAGTACAGTCACTAGTACTTTGTACATGACTTACAGGCACCATGGCATTCTAACTACAAGGTTCACCATCATCAATTGCATCAGTCACTTGAATCTTTCCCTTCTTTCCTTTACTTTTCTTGATTTGTGTTAAATCATTTCGAAATTTAGTTCTGTGGCGGTTGATTTCATTAATGCACAGATTACTAACTTTGACAAAGAGGGGATCAAATGATATTATTATATACTTGTAGTAAAGACCAAAGAAATATTAGTTATGATACAAGCCATAATACATGCTTAATTAAAGCCACAGTGGATTATCACAAAACCACAGTGTGCTATGTTGATAGCACACTCATTTAAGTGTGCATTTAATGCCAGGAAAGTGCCAATGTGCATTATCAGTGGTAATACAGTCTGGCTTTACAAAGAAATGCTTTGAAGTGTTAATGAGCAATAGTAAATGAATGACAAATTGACAAAAATGATTAGATAATTATTAGACAGTAAGTTGTAGTCTCTTCAATGAGTTACTTTGAGTCAGAGTTATTGTAGAAGTTAATAACACAATGTTCCAAACTGCCTGAAAATTCTTGAGCCATTTGCTTTGGTTTTAGTGGTGTATCATCTGCCATTCGCAACTTATTTGGTGGATTATCATCTACCTCTTCTGCTTTCTTCTCTGGTACTGCAATTTTATCAGGATCTGCATTCTTATTTTTTATACATGGAGTCTTAAAAGATGTTGCTGAGTCTAGCATTTTTGCCATTCCTTTTAACTGGTCTGAAGAGGTATTCTCAGAGGCTCTCAATACTGATAAGCTTCTGTGCCCGGTCTTTTCCTAAATGACCTTTTCAGGAACGTCTGACAAAAATAAATGTGTTGCAGTAGCTCTCGAAAAATGGTTGGTATAAACATTTGAAAGACATCCTTTTTCAGATATTGTTTTCATCATATTTCCCATTGTATTAATGCCAATAAAAACATTTGAATACCAGGGCTTTCCGAATTTATGTAAAAAATTAATGAGTGGGCGTAAAAAAAAGCCTTCGGATCTGGAGGTAACTTGTTAAAGTAGAAGTCGAGGAAAGGAACCAAACATTTCCCAGAATCAGTCACAGCATAAATCCTGACTACCTTATTCTTGCTGTGGATATCTTTAAATCTGTGTAAGTTGTTGTAACGACCTGGGGGCGTAGCCCCCAGGTCATCCAAAGATTGTTTTCACCCACATGCGATATATATATTTAATTGTGTGTCAACAATTCATTCCTTTATACACGTATTAAAGAAATGCACGCCTTAGCAATGCCCGCCCATGTTACGTAGTGGGTGTGGTAATCAAAACAAAATGGCTGCCATTGTACTGGCACTAAGTTGTATTACAGATCTTCTTCCTGCAATTAAAACTATATAGATGTACTAGAAATGGCTTGGCTCAAGTCATTTTCACTTCAATAAAGTAAGATAATAAGTAAATAGTTCAAATGTAACAAAAATTGTTTACATACTTTCCTACCATGCATAATAGGATTTCTAGAATATAAGATTGCATAGTTAAGGAATATCATCTATGAAACATTGCATAGTGGAGACCACATGATCCACTAGTCAACCCATCCACACTCACCTCAACTGGTGAACATGACTACAGTATAAATAATATATTACAATAAGTATTAAAATTAATTTTATTGAATAAATAAGTGTTAGATACATGTATTGTTACAGGCTATATAGTTAACTGGTTATTTGTAAGTATAAGTTGTATAATATCTAAAAGTCTGTCCAATTGATTAAGTACACTATTATTTTGTCCCTGCCACCATCCCCCTTCTCTTCCTCCCCCTCCCCTTCCTCTCCCTCCCATTCCTCTCCCTCCCCTTCCTCTTTGGTGCCACGGTGTAGTAAAGGGACTTTGACACTGCTGCCGCTGTGCCTGCCACCTTTCTCTCCCTGTTTCTGTTATTCCCTGGCCTGCCCCGCTCTCCTTTTGCTCTCCCTGGTCTCCCACCTCTGCTGTCTAAGGACCCGCGCCCGGCACCTCTACCACGAGACCCGTCACCTCTACCAGTACCACCTCCACCCCCTCTTCCTGCTCCTCTCCCAGGTGCCGGCAGCCCAACCGGCCGTTGATCACAACCTCCTCGGTCAGCAGGTAATTCCTCAGGACGCCTGCCTTCCTGTCTTGGCAGTGGCGTTGGAGATGGTGGTCTTATGGGAGGGGGAGGCGGTGGTCTTCTGCCTCCTCCTCTACGGTGTGGTGGTAAATCATCAGCAGTCTCATCTGGCAGTGGTAGCCGATTCTGAGTCCCTGGTAGACACTTCATTTCCTTCTATTGAAAATTTATATAAAGCTTATTTAATTGTAATTATATAATATACATCATTGTCGTAAAGGAGATCATAATCCTCATTGTCTTCCCGATTTCAACTGCAATTAATCGTCAGTACTAAGTACTACGCGAAATCAAATTAGTTGCAGCTGTTGTAATATTAATAATTTAAAAGCCAATAATAATTAATGTGTCAAGAATTAATAGGTCTATTTATCCAATCAAATTAGACCACGCCTTAATTATTATTATTATTATTATTATTATTAGCCTATTATTATAACTAAGCAACTGATGTAAGACGCTCAGTTTCAAAAATAACTTCATGTTAGAAGATGGAAACTTCCTTACCAGAAACGGTAGCAAAGAAGAAGCGAGTTTTACCTCAATGGATGCATGCCACATCCGCCAATCAACAACATGCACACACCACAACAGTATCGTCACATAAAAAGCACAAGAGGAAAGACCTCATAGACTGTTTCTATGGCCCACCCGCAATAAAGCATAGACTACCACTCCAAGACGTGAGTAATAATAAAAACATACGCATTGATTACTTAAAAGAAAAGCAGAGGGAACATAGATCAA